TGATTAATGTTGGTTTTTTGTGCATGCTGTAAGCCCAGATCTCGGCCCGACGTTTTCCCCGGCCCAATCCGGGGGTTCAACTACTCCAAGAAGCAAGATATCAAGACTCAACGGCAACAACCTGGTAATAAAAGTCATAGAAAACAATGGCGACACTGTAGACCCGTTTGCATAGGAACTACCAAGAAAAAGTCGAGTTTGACCAGGATTCTGTACAATTCTGGCACTTAGAGGATTAGTGAGCGTCAGCACATAGATGTATATATCTCATAAAAGCAGAAGTAGGTGCATCTTCCTATTCAAGTATGACATTTTCAATTGTGGAAACCCTCATTTTTAGGTTTATTGAATTCAATTTTATACCAAAAGCTAGCTGATTTCCCACAATTAGTGTCCGTTTTCACAGATAATTGATATTGGGAAAATCTACACTACTTATGCAAATGCCAAGAATTGGCATGTTTATATTGGGCCTCACGAAAGCCCAGGGAACTTCTACCCTAGGCCCATAGAATATCTGCAGGTTGGGGTCGGGTCTGGCCTTGGGCTTTTGGGCCGGTGCGGAAGTCTACATGACACAAATATCAGTTTCATTGTTTCATTCTGCACCATTTGGCTTTACTTGCTACGATGGTCCCCTGGTGTTTACTCAGTAAAGTTCGCACACAGCCTCCAATTCGATTGAGCTGGTCCAATGCAAACACAATATCCCTCGGTGAAGCTATAATCAGGCAAACGCCCACGATCAGACCTACCGAGTGTAGAAGAAGCATTTAATGAGCGCTCGAAATACGTTTTGTTGCTCGAATAATTATGGTGATGCCATAGACTGTTCCTCGCGTAGTCAAATTTGCCGCTTCAGGCGGCTTGCAAATCACTCACTCCTACTCTGCTGTAGAATGCCTACATCCACAACGGTCGCGAGTCAAAGTGGATTCCCAACAAAGACAACCAAGAAATTGAGGGCTTTGGCTCAAAACCATTCAACCGGCCCCTTCTACAAATGGGAGCCGTCGCACGTTTGTCTGTAATCCCCGCCAGCAACTACGATTTATATTGCGAGCCCATCTCCCATGTAGCAGCCACACCGCACTCAAATTGGCGACCACTGCTTTTTGGGCGTTGGAGCCGCAGACATGCCCCTATTCCATCCCCTCGTTCCACCCCCCGAACGCAATCACATGAAGGCTGATTAGGGATGGAAACTTTGGCTTAGGTTGTGGGAAATAGTCAAAGAGGTCGCACAGCATGACACTTGGTGGTGTTGTTGCGGACATCAATTCCACCTTCACAAAGGATCTGCTGGAACAGTTATATGCCAAATGTCGTTCAAAGCGCAGTGTCTGACAAATAATTGATGCTCAAGGACAGTCGAGGCAGGGGACGTAGAGAACTCGGCCATTTCCTGGAAAAAGCTGCTTGCGCGCGATATTTTAGAAGACGATTTCAGTGAGAGAATGAGACACGCGCTCGGCTTGACTGATCTGCAACTGCAGTGACTTCCGGGGTAAATGCCCATTGCCCATGTTGCTCAGGCTTGGATAGGAAAAAGCATACTCAGGCATCAAATCTACCATGATTTGTGCAAAGACACCACAACATTTGGGAGCGCCCTCGATGAAGCGTCGTGTAGGGCTCCGAAAGGAATATGACTATTCATGAATATTCATGAATTTTTGCGAATATGAATAATATGAATTGCATAATAGGAATATGAATAAGAGACTTGTTGAGATAAGTGATTGTCTGATTGATTCAGATTGACTTGAGGAGTTAACTTTAACAGGGGCGGGATGTCTCATATATATCTGTTCCTAATCCCTGCCATCAGGTTCAGCCACCGTGATACCCAACAGCGAATATGAATAATGCGCTTATTCGCGCGAATACGATATTCATTTATTCATATTCGCAGAGTGCGAATATGAATATGCCCTATATTCGCATTCATTTATTCCTTTCGGAGCCCTATTCAATGGGATCCCCACGGGTATCAGTCGAGCAGAGTGTGCCCCGTCGCTCAGCCAGAGTGGCAGGGGCTCATCTACCGCGAGACCCATCTACCTCTGCACCGCTTCGCCGGTCGGCACGACTGAACTCCACTCAGCGTGGGTGATTGCAATTTACAGTAATCGCGCGACGGAGATGGGAAATCTGTCAATACACGTGACTGCACGTGACCAGATGCTGGCATTCGGACGAGCAATAGAGAGACATGGAGTTTTAGAGCAAGCTTAGCAACCAAATGAATGGGATCCTGATCGTTAGCCCCACAGACCACTTCGCCACTGCTTCATATTTGCAAGTGCTAGATGTTGATTAGTCTAAAAATGCCACTGGAAGATTTTCTCATCTGAGATAAGTATAACTATCTCAACTCGGAACCGAGAGCCAGTAGATAAAAGTTGTTTGTACATCATACCTAACGGCGGCGGCCAAAGTAATGCCGACAGCGAGTTCAGCTGAGCCTTGTGAAGCGCGCCAAGCGGACATTTTGGGCAGAAAAGCACAGCTCGCGGGTCGGCAGGGGAGTCTCGACAATTCTATCCGTACCGCCTCACGAGTCACGACGTAGCAAAACCAGCTCATCTATATTAATCGACAATTATTGTTAATCTGACTCTGGGAACTAACACATAGTTCCTGGAAACGTCAAGAGCAATTCTAGGAAATTTTTATCACCTGGGAACTCCTCTTTAGCTCCTGGAGCCATTTCCTGTTTCCAGGAAACCGAGTTCTACCCCTGGGATCTCCACTATACGATCCTGATTGAATACGAACTGGTTTTGGGAACACATTGGCTGCATCTGGGAGCTGTCGCGCTCCTGGGACCCTACTTCTGGATCCTAGAATCAATATTCCGCCTTCTGAGGTCGCGGAAAGCCCTCACAAGACACCTTCACCAGACCTGCGCGCAAATCTGCGTAATTCGCTACTCTAGGAAAGGCTTAGCCATAGCCCCAGGAACCGCACTTGAGGTTCCAGTAGGTGATGAACTAGTCAACAGGAGCATGACTTTGGTTCCCCGACGTCAAGGTACTAGACCCCAGAAGCTCCGATGGGCTTCCTGGGGGCTATGTGGCTCCTAGAAGCTGCTTCTTTGCACCTAGAGACCGCACGCAAGTCTCCGGGAGTGAGAGAACTCCCAGGGCCAAGACCCGTGGTTCTAGCACAGGTAGTAACCCTGACAGAAACATGACCGATCCTTGATAGTGATAATGGATAGACTGACAAGCTACGTGCGATTTGCTGGGGGGAGATCTTTACAAACACGAAGTTTGATGGATTTTTACACAGAGCAGATAGCTGGTCGACGGCCCAACAAAACCCGTCCGATGTCTTGGAAGTAAACCAACCGGCTCCTGGAATCACCCTTAGCTCCCAGGAACTCTTCCCTTATATAAATTGCCTCATATTCTGGGATTAGATGACCGCTCCACGTAACCATACCAGTGCATTTTGTGGAAGATTATCTGACCCGTACGCGAGGTCGTGGGGGTAGAGACACATAAACACGTGTACCCCGTCCTACCCTTTGCATATCTTCTATCCGTGATATCAACCGGCCCATCTCTCCCAATGAGTGGTCTACCATTCCCCGACACCAGAATTCAACTGCCTGTACTCTCATCTGACAAAGTCGTTCAATTTTACTCCAAACAACCATTACGTCCAGGTGGGATTCAACCATGGTAACATTTTTACGTCTACCGAACCGAGATCAGTCACTCATCCGCAAGACATTCTGACCTCCAATGTGGAGGGCAGCATCGATGCTGCCATTACACTAGCTTTGTACCAGGCTCTCATCAAAGGTCAAAGATGCCTAGGTATGTTTCAGGATGCAGCATCTCAGAATACCCAAATTGTTGGAGTTGCGGAACGCCTGGATAGCCCTCTTCTGGACAACAAAGACCTCAACCCTGAACAGTGGGGTTCTCTAGAAAATGGGGTCATATTTACTGACTTTTCACTCTTATACTGCTGCATCGTGGAAAATTACGAGATCAAACCTATTCCGCTCTCGCGATTTCTTACCTAGAAACGCCAGACAGCATGGACCCTCCCAATCCAGCTTGGTCCGCACCTTCTGGTTCTCGGACTTGGGAAGTCGTCCCAATGTTCTCTCATGGGTCAGCCCTCCGAATCCCTTCTCGGTCTCGCACTGAGGACAATCCCCCATCTTCGCCAGCCCCGCTGGCAATCTCGTGTCTATGCGATCAACTTGACGCCTGCAACTTGGCTCCTAAATCCGTGTATGGTGCAACTATTATGTATGTTTTAGTTCATCTATCTTGTTTTTTGCTATCTAAAATTCGTTACTATCATTTCTGCAATATTTTGTTGATCGGCTTCCAGAGGCTTTTTACGAATGTGGAAAAAAGCGACGTTTTTCAAATATATACCCCTAGGTCAGTCAATCATATCTGTCGATCCCAGGGTTGTAATGAAAATAGCCACGCTTTCACTACGATCACACGGACATTCAACGACCGTCGATAGCTGGCCAAATTGGTTCAGTCCACAAAGGTCGTAGACTGGAATACCTGGTACTTCTCGGGAATTTGATAAGAATTGATAGAATAATCCAATTTTGCTCTAATCCGCGCTAATGTGGATTAGGAGATATATCATTCCGGAGGAATTTGAAGGAGATCGCGTCGAATACGCGATATAGTATAAAGACAAAGGTGGCTGCGTCTCGATCACAATAAGGAATTCTTCAGAGATGGCGGACCAATGTTGGTCCATCACCGTAACATTGCGGTGACAGATAGCATTCTGAAGGGCATTCTGCCTGTGAGAAGACCAGGTATGAAGTAGCGTGTAAGAGTATGGTCCGGACTCCGCCCACAAGGGAGAAACAACGTTGCACTCTATCTTCCAGCGAGAGGATGTGTATTGAGGAATGCGGAATAATGCTTGAGCTATATAATCGCCCGTAATATCCTGAATTAATCTCATACAACAAAACCATGACAATCAAACAAGAAACTTAGGTGGAAGCCAGCGTGGTGTTAGCTGACCCTGCTCTGCTTGATAAAATTGACAAATTATTCGCTTGCAATGTGGGAGAACACATCAATTTATCACAACTAGTCGCTGTCGGAGACCAATCCAGCGGGAAAAGCTCCGTACTGGAGGGCCTGACGAAATTGAAGTTTCCCCGAAATAGTGGTTTGTGTACTCGGTTTGCGACGCAAATCATTTTCCGGAGGGATCCAAGCTTAAAAAGGCGGAGAATCTATGGCTCCATCATTTCAACAGGACACGACGATGGAAACGAAAGTGATAGTTGGAATAGGTCCGGCATTGAGTCCTTAAATGAGGAAGAATTCGAGACTATGATGGATGAAGTGGGTCTTCAATCCTGAAAGCAACGATACGCGCAAGACTAATCTTGTCTTAGGTTCACGAAGCGATGGGCCTCTCAAGGTCAATGGGAGACGACCTGCCCACATTTTCTCTCGATGTCCTGCGGCTGGAGATAACTGGACCTCATGAAAACCATCTTAGTGTCATTGATGTTCCTGGAATTTTCAAAACCATAACACCTGGCTTGACTTCAAAGTCAGACATCGCCCTTGTGAGGGGAATGGTGCTCAACTACATGCGAAATCCTCGGTCAATAATGCTTGCCGTTGTTCCAGCCAATGTGGATATTGCAACACAAGAGATAATCGAACTCGCCAGGGAGCAAGACCCGGATAGAACCAGAACCTTACGCATCCTCACCAAACCAGACCTTGTCGACAAAGGTGCAGAAGATAGGACTATTGAACTTGTGGAGGGGAAGCAGGAATCCCAAGAATTAGGCTGGGTGGTAGTTCGAAACCTTGGCCAGAAGGACCTCCAGAACTCTTCAAAAGACCGTGATGTTGAAGAAGCGACCTTCAGCAATTCACCCCCTTGGAACCGCCTCTCAAAAGATAACTACGGCATCGATGCATTGAGGACGAGGTTGCAAGCACTTTTGTCTTCCAACGTGCGGCGAGAGTTTCCATCGGTTAGTTTTTCTGCAAGTAATGGGATACAAAGTCTGACCACTGAATGAACAACAGGTGCGTTCCAAAGTGTCTAAACGTCTTAAGGAATGCAAAAGGGATCTTGAAAGCCTCGGGGAAGAACGTGAGTCCACAGAGCAACAAAGAAAATATCTGCTCGACATTGCTTCAAAGTTTCAGCGCATCACTGAAATGCTCTTCAAACAAACTACGGGCTCCCAAGATGCTTTTGACGAAGAGCCTGGCTTACGATTGGCAACTTTGGTTGCTAATCGGAACGCTCAGTTTTCCGATGACATCTCTAGTCGAGGCCATTTATACTGCTTCATGTCGCATGGCCATGACGACGACTCTGAAAATCAACCGAACATCACAGCCACCTCCCCACCGAGCTCTGTGGGAGCATGTATCGGCACGGATAACGAAGAGGCAAAAGCAGAACGAGAAGAGCGTGAGTCTGTCACCAGCAGAAAGATGGATAGTTGCAGCGATATTGAAGACATTCTACATGATCGTATTCAAATCCAAAATTTCCTGATAGAAGGAATTCTTCCTTGGATCGAAACTGTCTATCAGGGTTCTCGTGGGTTTGAATTGGGAACGTTTAATTCGTCCATCCTTCCAAGCGTACTGAAGAAGCAATCTAAAAGGTAGTTAATAAAATATATTTTGATTCTAAATTTGCTTTATCTAGTTTTTTATCTATAACTATTTCAATATTAACTTTAATTATACTTTTATTTATGCTTATGCCTAATGAATGATTACACTTTGTCGAACTGAGGGGTGGTATTTTACCACTAAGGACAGGGTTATTCATCAAGTACCCATTCCCTCTTTGTCTCTGTATGGTAAACGGGGTACGCTCGGCATACCAGCGTTGTAACACGCTAGGAACGACTCCTGAGATCTGATAACACTTCAACAGCAAGATCCAGATAGAACAATCAATGCATCTCAATGGGACACCTCAATACTAGCACATACCAGTATCCGTCAATCCGACAGTTATGAGCCCGATTGCCCGTTGCAATATCCATTAAGATATATCAGACCTCTCTGCTCTATATCTTAGCAGCGCGTATAATCTTCCGCAGATCTCGGATACCCCTGAATCGCCCGGTTACCCCCAAACGGCACATGCGAGCGTTGCCGACGACCGATTGCGAACAGAACGATAGGATATAATAGGGAAAGCAGTATAAGGATGTCAGAAAGCCTCTACTCAGAAGAACTGAGGGCAGTGCCTCAGGACCAGCGACTACGGTCGGAAGGTCAATGGAGAGTCTGGATAGGCCATATACGATCAGCAGCTATCTCCGAAGATGTGTGGGAATACTTGAATCCAGATCTTTCCGAAGAGAGCGTACGACAGGTTCCGGAGGCCGCCCAAGAGCCTCAACCTAGCAGTATTCGCGAAGACGTGGAGGATGAGTTTGAACTCACAGAGAAGGAATTTACCCAGTGGACTCGACGCATTCAAGCCTACGATAGACGTGAGACTCAACGGGTGCGTCTGCTGAAGGTGATGGCACGCATGAACAGTCTAATCACACGTTCTCTCGCAACCGAGTATCACTATCTCACTGTCGATGAGGTTTCGCCGCATCAGAAACTTGTCAGGCTAGCTCGTGAATTCAAGCCAAAGCCAGAGACCCGGACCGAAGAGCTTCGACTTGCGTGGAGAGCCATGATCAAACAACCAGCGAATAACGTCAATACAGATCACTGGCTCACTCAGTGGACGAGTCTATATGAGGAAGCAAAGTGTGCAGATGTGCCTGATGTGGTATACAGTGTCAAGTACGCTATCCGAGACTTCCTGCGCGCTATTCAGCCTATAGATGACGTATTCTGCACCGCGTGGCAGGAGAAAATCCTCATACACGATATATCCTTCCATGACGTTATCTCCTCATACCGATCACGTCGTAAGGCTCTTGGACAGTCAGCGAAGAAGGGATCGTCGAAGGTTGCACTTGCCACGCTAGATGGTCAGCATGAGGCGAGACTTGGTCAAAATAAGTCCAAACTAGCGGAGAAAACGTACCGTACACGGTGCCCGTGTGGTAATGGCGCCCATACGTATCAGCAGTGCTACTATCTCAACAAATCGCTGAGGCCAGAAGGCTGGAACCCGAACGAAGCTGTGGAGAAGAAAATCCCTGAATTCATCAAGAGGATGAGTCTCCAGGACCAGGAAGCCATCGCAAAGCTAGCCAAGACCGAATCAGCTCAGTTTGCAGCCTCAGAAGATCAACGGTCGATCGAACAGATCATCTCTATGTTTTCGCATGATCTTGCGGTACAAGCGGCGCAAGAGAGTGATGAGTTTCCGCTAAAGAATAGCTGGATCGTTGATACCGGCGCGAATACTCACATCAGCAACGATCGCGAGAGATTCGTCTCATTCACTCCTGCTGACTACACTGTCATCACCGGAGACGCTTCTACAAGAATTCAAGGCTTTGGAACGGTGAGAGTGAACCTCACAGACCCCGAGACCGGAAAGACCTCTATCGGAGAGGTCTCGGACGTACGGTATTCGCCAGGATTCCACACGAACCTACTATCCGCGTCGAGACTGAAGAGCAAGGGATTCATCATGGATATCGAGTTACTAGCACTCGTTCACTGCGGTCAGCCTATTGCAAAGCTCGAGGAGAAATGTGGGCTATACGTACTCGAATACCGGCCAATTCCGGCTGGGTTCGCGACAGTCAAGCATTCACAAAAACCACTAATATCCTCAGCCACGGCCGAGCGTTGGCATCAACGCCTAGGTCATATGTATGATCAGCGTATCCAGAAACTTGCAGAACTCGTTGATGGAATCAAGATCACTGGTCAACATATCGATAATGCTATCGGCAATCCTGAGAGATGTGAAGTCTGTCAAATGACTAGCGCAAAGCGCCAAATCTCGAGAAGAGTTCATGGAACCAAGTACGGCAGATATGGTCGAATTCACTTTGACCTTGTGCGGATCGAGACAGCATACAACGATGATAAGTGGATGACACACTTCTACGTCGAAGGGATACGCTTACATGCCGCCTCTACACACGAGAAGAAGAGTGGTTGTCAGGATGCAGTCAAGCATTTTGTCGCGTTCGCAATAACACAATTGAAGCTGCCAATTCGAGCCTTTCGCTATGATAACGAGCGCGCTGCCGGCCGCACGGTAGAAGATTTCCTTCGTGAATGTGGCTTCATCGTGGAACACAGTGTGGTGGGCACACCAGAGATGAACAGCTTCAGTGAACGATCTGGGGGGGGTGATAATTGCGAGGGCACGAGCCTTACTGCTAGAAGCAGGCCTTCCGAAGGCTCTCTGGCCAGAAGCCGTCAAAGCAGCTATATACATCATCAACAGATCGCCCACTAAGCTTCCAAACGGTCAGTGGATTATTCCATACGCTGAGGCAACAGGAATCGACCACGCACAGCCAAAACAACGCATCAACCTCTCAAATCTGCGGCTATACGGATGTCGCGCTTACGTGCGCCGTCAGGATATTCCAAAGAGCCACAAGATGGAGCCGCGCGCGGATATCGGATATCTAGTAGGCTACACAGCCTCGAACATCTGGCGAGTGTGGTTTCCGCGCAGAGGAGCCGTGCGAGAGGTCAGGGACGTAGTATTCGATGAGAATCTACGATATGACCCCAAAGAACTAGAAAAGCCACCTATTAGCGACGTAATCGAAGCTATGCCATGGGAAATTGGTGAAGACGAGCATGAGGATATCGAGCAGCTCACACAGCTTGACAACCAGCCAGAAACAAACGAGCCAGCTAGTGAGAGTACTCAGCAGTCACCAGAGGCCATACCGGACGTTCAACGCCAGGAAAATGCCTTTGAACCACCAAAGTCACCAGGCCAACCTCAACAGACGGTCACACCGTCTCTAACACCCTCGGCAGAGCCACAGCTTCTGCCGGCGCCTCAGACGCAGCAATCATCTCAAGGAGCATTTCCCGGAGATCGAAGGCCCGCACAACATGAGACAGCACATCCAAGAGCACCAAGGGATATCGTTGGAGATGTATCGGATCAAAACATCGTCACTGGAGCACGGAACAGGAAACCAGTGGACCAGGCATTTACCGCCGCGCTAGAAGAGCCAGAAGACTATCATGAAGGTGTCTTAGCAGCGTTCGCAACAGGACTAAACGCTCCTCACCTTCATAACCTCGTGCACCGCGATGATCTGCCTTCAGAGCCTCAGAACTGGAAGGAGATGATCAACCATCAATATCACAAGGGCTTTCTTGCCGCTGCAGGCCTTGAAGTTGACACACTCACTCGCAAAAGCACCTTCGAGGTAGTACAGCGTCCAACAGACCGCAGCATTCAGATCCTACCTCTCAAATGGGTCTTCACTTATAAATTTGATAGCAATGGGTTCCTGAGCAAGCTGAAAGCAAGGCTATGCGTACGAGGAGATCTCCAACGGATGACGGCAGAAGAAAAGTACTCAGCTACTCTCGCAGTGCGAACCGCACGTGCTGTATTCGCGCTGGTCGCTGCATTCGATCTGGACACACGCCAATACGATGCTGTCAACGCATTCCTCAACAGCCTACTAGATGAGATTGTATACGTCTCATTACCACCAGGGTTTGACAAAGATGGCAAAACCAAGTGCTGGAAGCTTCTTAGAGCTCTTTACGGCCTACGGAAATCTCCACGCCTATGGCAACGAGAAGCGTCTAAGATCTTCACATCTCTAGGCTTGCAGGTAGTACAGGAAGATATCTGCCTCTTTGCAGCGGACGGCATCATCGTATTCTTCTATGTTGACGATATCATCATCGTAAACCATGCTTCAAAGCATACGGCAGCCGAAAACCTAAGAGAACAGCTCAGCAAACACTGGGAGCTTCGAGATATGGGAGAGGCGCAGTGGTTCCTCGGGATACGCATTCTCCGTGACAGACAACAGATGGCCCTCTGGCTCTGTCAGGATTCATATATATCCTCGATGGCTCACCGTTACCATCTCACCGGATCTCGCAGATACGATACACCACTTCCTAGTTACTCACTCAAGCCATTTGACGGCCAGGCGACGCCTCAACAGATTCACGAGTACCAGGAGAAGGTTGGCTCAGCCCAATATGCAACGACAATCACTAGACCGGACTCGGCGAAAGCGACGGCTACACTCGCTCAATTCCTCACAAATCCCGGTCCCCAGCACCTTGATGCGATCAATAGAGTCATCTCGTACCTTTACAACACTCGGACATCGGCGATCGCGTACAGAGCGCGCGATCGATCACAGAAAAATAGTCAGATACCAGAGGCAGTTCAGTTCTTTAGCGACGCCTCATTCGCCGATAATCCTGATCGAAAAAGCTCTGAAGGATACACATGTATGATGTTTGGAGGACCTGTCGATTGGAAGGCCAGCAAGCAGCGTACGGTGACTACCAGTACAACCGAAGCTGAGCTCCTTGCGATTTCAGAAGCTGCCAGGACTGTGGCCATGTGGAAACGGCTATTCAAAGCAATACGCTTCGATCCTGAGCACGAGCTAAGCATCAGATGCGACAACCAACAGACTATCGGGATTCTCGAAAAAGAAACACCTCAACTGCGCACGAAGCTCCGCCATATTGACATACACCAGCACTGGCTTCGGCAAGAAGTTCAGAGCAAGCGCATCAACGTACACTGGGTGAGAACCGCCGATATGATAGCTGATGGTCTCACAAAGCTACTACCCCGCCAAAAGCATCTCGGTTTCATGCAATCGATGGGTATGGAGGATATACGGCAACATCTGGTAATGGGCGAGGTCTAACGCACACATCTGCAAGAGCAGAAAGGGCACTCGCTGAGGGGGTGTGTCGAACTGAGGGGTGGTATTTTACCACTAAGGACAGGGTTATTCATCAAGTACCCATTCCCTCTTTGTCTCTGTATGGTAAACGGGGTACGCTCGGCATACCAGCGTTGTAACACGCTAGGAACGACTCCTGAGATCTGATAACACTTCAACAGCAAGATCCAGATAAAACAATCAATGCATCTCAATGGGACACCTCAATACTAGCACATACCAGTATCCGTCAATCCGACATATATTCTTAATCAGAGTTGATCTCGGGCCTTCAACAGCGTAAGGCTTGACTATTTTCCACGAACGACTCGTTGATCACTACAGTGTCCATATTGCTGAGTGCACTGTCAGTAGCGTATGTACTGAAAAATGAAAAATTACAAGGCAAATTGTTGAACAGAAATGGGGGCGTCCCGTGTCATAGATATGGCCAAATAGAATAGCGGTAGGTATCAGATGCAGGACTATTCAGCTGCTCCAACACAACTGAACATCGAAAGCTCCTAGAGAAGGGAGGATCGGCACTGTTTGTAGTGGCAGAGCCAGCTCCTTCTATCTCCTATACCCAATTTATGAGCCCACTTCCCCCACCCCCTCCCGCGCAAAGAACCCCGACACAGAGATACTAGGAGGATACAAGTGTATGCTAGGGGGATGTCAAGGTGAGAATACCACTGCCTTCAAGGACAGGATTAGTAGCATGTACTCGCTGATCCACAACTTTATTTCTCGGCCAAAGACTGTAAATATTTTCCATTATGCGACTCTATGGATCACAACTTGGAGCCTCTATAAGGGGACGTACTATGTGCGACCAAGTCGTGCTGGGTTTTGCTGCGCGCACAACAAGTCTGGATAGTCACGGTCTTCACATCCCGCTCCATCATCCTATGCAGATGTGTCCAAGTCGGTGAAAGATCTGAGATGTCCACCAGACAGACTAGCATGCAACAACATCCCATGCACTGCCCCGAATAACCAGTTAGTGATACGGCGATAGAGAAGTCGTTGGTTTTTCGTGGCTTCCGCAGTACGGTTTGGCGAAAGGGGCATGGTTCTCATATTGACACGCGGTATTATGATTTTATCCAAAGCTCATGCGCGCGCCTCCTCGGTGCGCTCTGGCGTTGACGACCGCACTGGGAGGAAATCTGTTCACTTTGGCTCTTCAATGATGGGCTGGGCTGACGCTGTTGTCCACGAATGAATGGGGTGCGTAGCCAGGCTTGACCTTTGAACAGTTAATATTGCTCGGCCAAACTCCGAAACAGAGGCAACTTTGGATCCGAATGTGTTTCATGGAACAGTCGGCGAATTGATGGAATTACTTGATGATTTGATCCAGGACGCCCCACGCGCGAGGGGTTATGGATGGGTGGAGGCTTCCAATGATCTGGATCCGCAAAGTGTTTAAGGGTACACGCTGTATCGTTGGGCCGTTTCTGAGATGTACTGCCGAGGCCCGTGCTAGTCCCGCTGGTGCTGTATTGCTGGGCTGGCCACTCAGTGCCTTCAACTATGCCCGGCTCCATGTTTCGCGTTTCGACGACCTTAGCCATTTCGGAATGTCGGTCACAGCGATGGAAGTTTTCTGATGAACGCAGGCCATTGTTGCCTAGGCTGACTTCGGGTGATTGCAAATGTACCAACGTTCTTGGGCTGGAGGGCCTCTGGCATATACTTCGCGACGTGTATCCCTCGCATAGAAAGCCGCCACGAATGCAATTGTTGCCTGGAGCACGCGTTAGTGCACTGCCATTCGGGAATTGCCGTCAACACAAAAGACAGATAGCTAGACTTACATGCAGGATGCTGCTCGTCGCACTTCTTTTTCCTGCGGCGACAAGTCATGCAGCCAGTCTTAGATCTGTGGCTAAATACACGCTTTCTCTTCTGCGCTACTTGACCTGCAGCCTCGGGTTGCTTGGAGGCATGAGATGGGAAAGATGCAGATACGAAATCAGGGGCATTGCCATGTAAGGTCTGTGGTTCTTGCTTTTGCGCCTCTCGTTCCAGCGCATCCGTCACTTGTGGATTGGAATCATCAATCTGCTGGGCCCGTTGTGTCTGGCTGGTCAGCTGGGTATCGTGGTCAGGCCGGTGGACATGTGACGTTGGTGCTTGAAGAATTCCAATTCTGTCGGATCGGTATTCGACTGTGGCAGCAAGGGTTTTTTTTGAATTGATTTTCGACACTGGTTTTGATGCAGGTTCGCTGGGGGCAAGCAGGGTTCTGCCCTCCGAGCGGGGCCGATGCCGCATCTTTTCTAACTGAAAGGTGGCAGACTCTTCTCGTCCCCGTATATGCTGGCCCTCTTGGTATGGTCCGTTTGCGTCCCCCTGATCAACAGAATCAAGCTGGGATGACCGGTATTCATTTACTGAAGACCCTCCGCTCCTCGCGGCCTTCTCGGAGTCACACCCCTGGACATTGAGAACATCGTGGCTATGCGTAAGTGCTTCTTTTCGGGAATCGCCCAAGATCGAATTCTCATCCAACAATGCCTTTTCTGACATATTCTCTGGATGATTTGATACGGGGAGTCGCCGAGAATGCTCCGATTGTGAGCTTGCGGTGGTTCCGGCCTCATCGCTCCTCGTTCCCAGCATTATGGGGTCTCGGGATCTAGAGATTGAACCTGGCGCTCTTGACAACTGATGGTAATCAGAGATTGTCGGAATGACAGGGATGACTGGAATTGCTGCGGGCTTTAATGCCAAACGATTCCAACTATATGCTTTTTTTTTTCCTTCTGCGAAGATACCCCGCGCCTTTTCGCTCTTTTCGCCGCAATGTGGACCAAAGCTCAACCACGTCTCGATTGCGAGTAGAGTCATGCTGAAATTGCGCCTCAGCCTGTGTCTCAGGCATATGACCTCGCGTCTTAAACGATCCAGGTAATCGGTCTATTCCCTCAGTCATCCCTGGATAGTTATGTAAAAATGCTACACGTTATTGTCAGTCGCGCCTCCCACAAATATTGTCTTTGCTAATTCGAACTCACGCCTCTGCTTTCCGACTCCTTCACATCTACCTCCTTCTAGGGCTGTACCGGAATTTGGCCATGGTGTGAGAGAATTGCTCAAGGTAGAATTGCATGTGGAGATCGGTTGAGGGACTTTAGAAAGACACGATGCCTTGCTGACTTTCCCGAGGGATTCTAGCCTGTCGCTCAATTTATCAAGTATATCATCATTCGTCTTGATGACTACAATCCAAGAAATATCAGTGGCCGTAAAAAGATCCACGACGGTCGAAGGCATACCCACATTCCAAGGCAATCTTGTTCCATGAAGATATCTCTGCGGTCGCCAGCCTCAGAGTTTCTATTTCCGCCAGCACATCACTCGTGTGGGAAAATGGGTGAACAAGCTGTTGAGGAAGGCCTGACAGTATCAAGTTGTAGTCAAATTCGGATATCTCAATCCATGATCCGCAATTTTGAAGTCTGCAATGATACTTGCCATCATCCTGACGTTCCGACTCGTACATCTTGTCGTGGAGAACGTCCACCCAATCAATGTATTTATCGCACGCCTCATGATCGACTTCCAGAACACGCGGGCGGAGTTCACTGAATAATAGCATGACATTCTCCGCCAGAGTATCGCACATGAGAGGAACATGAAAATGTTGCGAAAGGCTTTTCTCGCCTTGCAAATAAGATTGGAATGACTTTGACTGCTCGAGAACTGACAGTAATATTTGCCGTGAACAGTCAAAATATCGAGAGCGAATCTGCGCTTCATAAGGTTTCATGATTGGAGCCCAGTCCTTCGAGCTTTTCTTGGTATGTCTCCGCGTTCGAGGTCAAACCTGGCGGACACTGCTAGAGGGAACATGAAAAAAGGCCCCGGGTTTATCTTGCAGGTGACTTGACCGCCCGAATTTATAAACGGCAGATTCGCTAGTGAGAAGCCAGGAAGATTCTCCAACAGGTTATATGGACATTGGATGTCGGGCCGCATGTTGTAAGAGCCTCTCAATTCCGATTGGCTAAGTTTCTACGATTTCTGAAAAATTTTGGTACCGAGTCTAAGTATGATCGTGCTCCGGCAGATCCCGACCATTTTGATCACCAACAGCGCCCAAGACTGGCGAGTATTAACTAGGCCATCTCCTTTCCTATCGCCCTCTCCTTGTTGGCCCCAAGACCCACTTTGGAACCATGTATGGTTTGTCAAACTCTGGAGATTGGTGAATCAGGAGCTGCCTTCCTCACCAGGCCTCATGCTCGTTCAAAGTCTCCTCAAAATGCCTCACATTCTTGGTCTGCCCACAGGAATACTTATTTGGTCATTCAGGTATTCGGATTACTCAGCAATACTTTGCGATTTGCGCGTATTGCCATCATCATATCCTCGCCCAATAAGTGCGATGGGGCACGACGGAGGGGGAGGACCTAATCTCAGGGGTAAACATTAGGGCCCACCGCGCGCGGACCGTGCCCGACGCAGATCAATATGAATACATAAAATAATCGTCCGGTTGGTAAACCTTCACCTGAAGCTTCTTGCATGGGACTAGTAGGCTAAGTCACCTGGAATACACAAAAAGATGAGACGGGAAAATATCAAATGTGTGGGTCCGTCCAGATCAATGGCTTGTCGATCGGCAACGGGTCTTTGTGCGCCAGGGCTTGGCTCTTTTTGCGGAGCGAGTCAAGCCCCAATATCGAACAGGAATGAACAAATCTTCTAATCAAAGGCAGTGAGTGAGGCGAGATATCTTCTTAATCGTCGCTATGGCATCAAACCAAAGTTTTGTGCACCCTCTGGCGCAAGATTTGCGAATACTTTCGTTGCCGAGAACCGCATCACATTCCCCGAGCGGGAAGTCTCGCATCAAGTATTAGTCTCAATGTGCTTGCATTAGCAGGAAAGCTAACCAATCTTCTTGCACGCTAATCGAACCCATCACCAACGGCGCTGCAAGTGATAGATTTCACATGTGATTAGCTTTGGTCTGGATGTAAAATAAAATAGAAACAGAAAAACGCCAAACGATTGAATAAACTTTTGGTGACCAGTGCGCGGTCCAAAAACTCTTTGCTTGGCCGAAAGACACATGTGAATAGCTAGCTCAGCAACAAGTGGGGTCGGGTAAAGACATAAACCTACTGATAGGTATGATAATCCTGGTATATAATAGCACTAATTCGGGGGGGGCGAGCAATATTTCCTTTCGTTCACCACAGAAATTGGCGTGCGCGTCTCTTTAATAAGCGCCATCGTGTATGCTGGACCATTTGAGCCCAAAGATAGGACTTCGTGACCATCAAAACATGGAACAAACCCCTGATGCCGTCGAAGCTCCGCTGTCGGTTCATGTTTAGTGTCATTCCCATTTGGACTCACCTATTGGTCCAAAGCCTGATCAATTACAAAAGATTCCCGATTTGCGTGCCACAACTGGGCTTATTCTTGGTTCGGTGGGCTCATACTCTACAGCTCTCGATGAAGGAAATGGTATCGTGAGGTGTCTGGACGTATCTCTACTCGGCAGTCGAGTTGAAGACATCATCGGTGGCTCCTTCAGCAGTCCTTGCCCGCATATTGTTGAGATGGAAGATCCGGCGAATAACCATGGAGTTATCCCGAGCCGGGTGGATCTCATTCGGAAGGCAAACAAACCCTGGTCTACCGGGGGCCACAATTCTGAATTGAGCCACCAGCGGGATACTAGTTACGGAGAAAGTGAGTCTGTGAAAAGGGAAGCTAGCTGTGTATAGGTTTTAGTGGGCTTAGTCTGCCACGCAGCGCCATCAAGAGATGGCCGCATGTCGTAAACCGTGAGGGAGAAGTTTATCAATCCATCACCTTGGAATTTCGTACTTGGCTGATCACTGCTTATTTGGCTATTTCCAAATCGGCTTTAGCAGAGCGGGGGTCCACCTTCCGACTTCCCCAAAATTATTTCACCCTTAGCCTCCGTAACGATCTTTACCACTCTGCTCCACTATTGATCAAGTTCGGTTTCGGGAGAATCCTTCCGGGTGTTCCAGGCCATCCCGCTGCCCACAAACTGTAGCCTTGCTTCTTCAGATCACTTAGAGGACGACAGAGCCAGTATTACGCAGGCTAATCAAGACACATCGAGCGAAAACACACCTTTTGAGTAATCGGATCTCGTAAAGAGGTATTTTCAAACAGATTACACCTAGACACACTCGTTGTCTTTCTTACCAGGTCCAGATCGTCAAAGTATTAGAATACAATGCGGCCAATCATAAATCTATATTGCTTCCGAAAAGTAACAATGCCTAGACTAAAAACCCCGATTTCCAATGACGTTTACTTGGGATCAGCAGCCGTTTGCTCTGCCCCCTTCGCTCATGGCACGTCTATCAACCATGAAAGAGGCAACAAGCATGAGCATGATTGACGCCAAGAACCCCAGGGCCATGTGCTACAAGGAGCGCGTGACTATCCCTTAGTGCCCTTTTCCCACCAACCGCGTTCAAAGCCTCTACTTTTTTCTCGAAGAGTCCGCAACCAGTTGCATCCTGAAAGTACTAGAGGGAAGGCCGAGTACTCCGCCTCGGGAAGTTGGGCTTCATCCATGATTGCTCTTTCCCATACATACGCTTTACCCGTGGGGGCTTTATACACAGCTTTGATAGCGTCTGAGTACACGCTAGACTTCAAATGGCCAAACTGTATTTTCCGGGTTCGGGGCTAAGAATCAAGCAAGAAGTCCCTTTTAAATCGCGTCGGCTTGACTGCCAGTCACATCAAGCCTCCTTGCCAGTCCTTTGGCATATAGTAGTAGAATATTTCTCGCCGCCTTTGAAAGTTTCTGGCAGGCTTTTAAAGCCCATCTTATTGTTTTACAAAGGCAGACTCGGGCTAAGCACAGATCTCAGCATTCTTGGAAAGCTCTGCCTGCTCTTCCTCGACAGTCCGGATCGGTGAAACTGAGCGTAGCAGATTCCAGAGGGTCTTGGGAAGTCTCGTTGGCCTCTTCCCGGTGGTTTCTCGTATCATGCCCACACTCTGTTCGAGGTTAGTATGTGCATACTCAACTTGAAGATTTCACTGTGAACTGACCTCGACGCTTGTTGTCTCGCTATAAAAGAATTCCTGTCTTCCAGTCACCCTAAGCAAGTATTTCCAGATACGGGCTTTGGTAGACGGCTCCAGAAGTCTATCGGCTTGTTCAATGTCGCCCACCTGGGGAAAGTTCTGGAGGAGATTGACATAAATCGGAAGTAGAGTTGGTTCGTGCATGTGCACGGCACACTGCCATATTTGCCGCACGTTGTCTGCCACCCCATCCGTGGCGATCAGTCCTTGACGATCACGGCTGAACTTGCCCAGAGCAAAGTTGTAACCAAACTTGAATTGCTTGGCCCTTGAAGTAGACATTGGTAGCAGGACCCCATGCAGGAAGAGCTTTACGTGAAACTGCGAATCGAGAAGCAAGTCTCCTTGAGGTGTCTCTACAACGGAGGAGGGATGGGAGAGCCTGCGGATATCGAGAGTGACCTGCAGCCACTCGAAGAACGTTTCGGGTGATATCGGTCGACTATGACTGGCACGTCCAGCCCCAATCACCACCGTGATGTCTCTTTCGATATGGAAGCGCAGCTTTGCCATATCATCAGCTG